GCAATCATAGTACCAGGGGGAGAGAGCACAACTTTGTAGTAGCCACAGTCAGCGGCCAGGCTTCAAACACCTTTTATTGTACAGCAATAAAGGAATGGAACAGACTGCCCGCACATGTCAAAGCCAGTCATAGCATGAACCAGTTCAAGAAGAGTGCCAAAAGGTGTCTGATGAATGTAGCTACAGAAAGGGAGGGGAATGATTTTCTATTTTTTAGCTAACACACGTGTAAATTTTACCTTATTCCTAGTAATGACCCTCGTATTGTAGATAGTCTTAATGACCCTCGTGTAGTAGATAGTCTTTTTAGTATGATAATAAGATGTTATCTTCATTATATAATAATAAGAAAATTTTATAACCTTTATAATATAATAATAAGGTAAAAGGACCCCAATGGAAATAAGTCACTCTGTCTGACTTTTTTGGGTTATCCCAGGTTCTCTACACATATGCTGCTATGTATTTGTGTATACCTGAATAAACTTACTTACTTACTAATTCCACAGGATGGATATGGGGTGCACAATAAACTAGCCACTTCGGTGGCAACATCTAAAATCTAATCTGTTCTACTGTCTGCCATTTGTCCTTAAACTTGTATTGATAAAGCGACTGGATGGCGAAACGTTTACAATAGATACCCAAATGTTGTCAGTGTATTTTTCATCTTGTCGGTATTGTATACCATTCTTGTATACCCTTAATGTCATTGTAAGAGTATATTGTTTTTAAAATAAAAACAAAAGGAAGATAAGAGATTGAGCAGACAGTTCGAAACACAGAGATTTGTCCAATAAAGTAACGAGTAAAGTTCTTCCAAGGCCATGCGATAAGATTTAACCTTCATCCCAAAAGCGTTTAAAATTTTTTGAAAAGGCGGCACTTTCGAAAAACTTGCTCAGGACAGTCGTTCCCCTTGCTCTCTCTAGCTGTGCCACTGATCCTAGGTAATTTACACATGTTACTTATGATAATTCATGTGATGTATACTTACACCAGCGAGAAAACTGGCTTGAGATACAAGATTTTACCCTGACATCTATAGCAGCACCGCTGCTGTGTGATTGTAACTGCTACACCATTTCTGGTAGACTCTGTCCTTGTTATAGTGCTGTCACCCCCATAGGGCTATAAACAGTACATCTGACACCAAAAAACTCACAATACCTATGTCACTTGCACAAACTCGCTCCTTCAGACGCCAGTGACGGCAAAGACCCGTGTCAGGATTTCGCTCCTGGCGAATTTTTAAGAAAATTTATTTAGGCACAAATGCAGTCATCATACATGTAAATTAACTAAGATAACCCCCTCCCCAAAGTAATATTTATTTCTATAAGTACACGTACAAGGTATACAGACCTAGCTGACATCAATGACAAACAATTACAAAGATGAATAGATTCTTCTCTATTTGAGTGTTACCCATTCTTCAATCACTCAGCTTTTAGTATCACTTCGTATACCAGGAAGTTCTGCATGACCCTTGTGGATGCAACATTATTTTGATTGTAATAGAGAAACTGAGCTTCAGTACTGGATAAGTATTCAGTGACCCTATAAATCCCAACAACAGTAACTAACTACCTGGAGTTTACCTGGAGAGAGTTCCGGGGAGTTCCGGGGGTCAACGCCCCCGCGGCCCGGTCTGTGACCAGGCCTCCTGGTGGATCAGAGCCTGATCAACCAGGCTGTTACTGCTGGCTGCACGCAAACCAACGTACGAGCCACAGCCCGGCTGATCAGGAACGTGCAAAAACCACCAAAATGGCGAGTATTTTTCTACATCACCGCTAATTTTCTACAGAATGAGTTTTCGGACAGCCACATAATAAGCTTGGTGGAAAGTATTTCTCTTGGAGGCAGATTTAAGGCCATTTAAAGGAGTTGCCAGTCATTAACACTTAACCGTATTAACATAATTTTCTCTCATGGAAGGTTTCTTGATGTTTTGAGGGGCTCTTGTTCTAGGGAATTGGATCTGTGCTCCGGTTCCCTGAATTAAGCCAGAATACCTTCCAGATTCCCCCCCCCCACAGGCGCAGTATAACCCTACGGGTTTAGCGCTCCCCTTGATTATAATCAAATTTTCTACATGTAAAAGGTATACAGGTCTATTTGACATCAATGACATATTACTATATAGAAAGAAAGCCCCTCGTTATGCAGAGCATTTAGGGCAATTTAGATCAATATTGCCCCCAGGATGCGACCCACACCAGTCGATTAACACCCAGGTACTTGTTTTACTGTTCGGTGAACATGGACAGCAGGTGTCTTAAGGAAATACAATCATAATGCTTCCACCCGTACTGGGAATCAACCCCCTGACCTCAGTGTATGTGATGAGTGTGCTAGCAATAGAGCTATGGATAGAATGTACTCCTTGAATTGTATTTGTTTCACACGCATTTTAGTCAATATTATCTTGTAAATTATATTAATTGATCTCTCTCTATTTTGAGGATATAGTCAAGAAGTTTAGTAAATGATTGCTATGGTTTGATTGGTAGTATCCACAGAGAATAAAAACAAACCCCAATGAAAATGTCACTTTGATTCTTTTTTTTTTCGGGGGGGGGGGGAGGGGGTTATCCTAGGTATTTTACACAATTTCTATGTATGATAATTGTTCTTGTGTGTTCCTGTGAGTAAATAAACTTGCTTAACAGGAGTCCCATAGCTCGATTGCTAGCACACACTTGGTTCAGATGTAGTCGAACTATAATGCTAGCATATTCTTGCCTTTTGCCAAAACAGAGAAAAATCTTTGAAATGGTTCTAAGAAGCAAGATTGCCACCCATCTTGATACCCATCAGTTACACAACCCAGGGCAACATGGGTTTAGAGCAGATCGTTCCTGTCTGTCCCAACTACTGGACCACTATGACAAGGTCCTGGATGCTCTAGACTAGACGGACAAAATGCAGATGTAGTATGCACAGACTTTGCAAAAGCCTTTGACAAGTGTAATCATGGTGTAATAGCGCACAAAATGCATGATAAAGGAATAACAGGAAAAGTTAGTAAATGGATCTATAATTTCCTAACAAATAGAACACAAAGGGTAGTAGTAAACAGAGTAAAGTCTGAGGCAGCTAGGTGAAAAGATTTGTTCCACAAGGCACAGTACTCTCTCCCATCCTGTTCCTCATCCTATATCTGACATAGGAATGTAAGCCACAGCACCATGTCTTCCTTTGCAGATGATACCTGAATCTGCATAAGTGCCCTCCATTGAAGACACTGCAAGACTCCAGGCAGACATCAACCAAATCTTTAAATGGGCCACAGAAAACAATGAAGTTCAACAATGAGAAATTTCAGTTACTCCAATATGGAAAACGTGAAGAAATTAAAACTATATCGGAGTATAAAACAAATTCCAACCATACAACAGAGCAAAAAACTAATGTAAAAGACCTGGTTGTAATCATGTCAGAGGATCTTGCCTTCAGAGACCATAACATTGTATCAATCACATCTGCAAGAAGGATAATGAGAACCTTGTTCTATCTAGGGTGGAATATTGCCGCACACTAACAGCACCTTTCAAGGCAGGTGAACTTGCTAACCTAGAAAGTGTACAGAGAACCTTCATGGCACACACAACTGCAATAAAACGCCTCGGTTACTGGGAACCCTTGAAGTTCCTCGACCTGTACTCCCTAGAATGCAGGTGGGAGAGATGCATGATTACGTATATACACTTTGAAAATCCTAGAGGGATTAGTACCAAACTTGCACATGAAAATCACTTCCTATGAAAGCAAAAGACTCGACAGATGATGCAACATCCCCCCAACGAAAAGCAGGGGTGCCACTAGCATGAGAGAACACAATAAGTGTCAAGGGGCCCAGGACTGTTCAACTGCCTCCCAGCATATGTAAGGGGGATTACCAATAGACCCCTGGCTGTCTTCAAGAAGGCACTGGACAGGCACTTAGTACCTGACCAGCCTGGCTGTGGTTTGTACGTCAGGTTGTGTGCGGCCAGCAGTAGCACTCTGGTTGATCAGGCCCTGATCCACCATGAGGCCTGGTCACAGACCGGGTTGTGGGGGCGTTGACCTCCGAAACTGGTTTAGAAAGACACATAAGCGAACACTATGACATATTTATTAGACAATGTTTCGGTCCCAGGACCGAAACTTTTTCTAATAAATATGTCAGTGTTTGCTTACGTGTCTTTCTAAAGTAACTTGTCGGTATTTATTACCAAGGTTCATACCAAAGACGTGGGAGTGATCATGTCGGAGGATCTCACCTTCAAGGACCATAACATTGTATCAATCGCATCTGCTAGAAAAATGACAGGATGGATAATGAGAACCTTCAAAACTAGGGATGCCAACCCCATGATGACACTCTTCAGGTCACTTGTTTTATCTAGGCTGGAATATTGCTGCACACTAACAGCACCTTTCAAGGCAGGTGAAATTGCTGACCTAGAAAATGTACAGAGAACCTTCATGGCGCGCATAACGGAGATAAAACACCTAAATTACTGGAAGCGCTTGAGGTTCCTGAACCTGTATTCCCTGAATGCAGGCGGGAGAGATACATGATTTATACACCTGGAAAATCTAGAGGGACTAGTATCGAACTTGCACACGAAAATCACTCACTACAAAAGCAAAAGACTTGGCAGACGATGCAACATCCCCCCAATAAAAAGCAGGGGTGTCACTAGCATGTTAAGAGACCATACAATAAGTGTCAGGGGCCCGAGACTGTTCAACTGCCTCCCAGCATACATAAGGGGGATTACCAACAGACCCCTGGCAGTCTTCAAACTGGCGCTGGACAAGCACCTAAAGTTGGTTCCTGACCAGCCGGGCTGTGGCTTGTACGTTGGTTTGCGTGCAGCCAGCAGTAACAGCCTGGTTGATCAGGCTCTGATCCACCAGGAGGCCTGGTCACAGACCGGGCTGCGGGGGCATTGACCCCCAGAACTCTCTCCAGGTAAACTCCAGGTAAACCTCCAAAACTCCAGGTATACCCCAGGGCTTAAGTGGCTGTGAAAACACAAGATGAAGGCATCATTCATTCACTCAATTATTTTTTTTTTTTTCCCTGTAAATTATGGGATGTCATGTAAGTTCAGTATGTGGTTGTGTATGTTTTTCTGTATACACTGAAGTCACATTTATCAGCAATCATTAAGGCATGACCCATATATTGGGTGAGAAATTTATTTATACTTCAACAATATGTCTTCTTGCTATTGAAGATTACATGTATTTTTTGAATGTTTGGATACCAAAATATTTATTTATTTTTTTTTTTATTTGAGGGGGGGAGGGTTATCACCCTACCTTGGTGGGAAAGGCTAGTGTCTTAACCCCTAAACTGTCCAAACGTAGATCTGCGTTTGCTCGTGTAATGCTCTGAACGTAGATCTACTTTTTTGCACTACGCACACAAACGTAGATCTACGTTTGGACAGTTTAAGGGTAAGTAAGTAAGTAAGTAAGTTTATTCAGGTATACACAAATACAGTTACATAGAATTATCATACATAGCAGCATGTGTGTAGAGAACCTAGGATAACCCACAAAAGTCAGACAGAGTGACTTACTTCCATTGGGTGATGGTGTTCGTATACCATATCTTGCAACTTCGTTTTTTTTTTTATTGTTATGCTGTCTTATAATTATGTACATTGTATTCATTAGTTTGTAGCACACCATTGTAGAGACTGCAAAGAGTGGCTACCTACAGTATTTTCTCTCATTCAACATCTTGAGTGCATTCACATCAATAGTGATGATCTTGCTGTGCAGGTGAGTAGGTGTAAATCTATGAGTAAGTCTCCTTACACCTGTTGCTCTTGTTCACTTTGCAGTAAGTTTCCCAACTGTGACTGACTGTAATCTTTTATTTATGCAATCAGTACATAATATACATTGACATTTTACAATGGTTATAAATGCACAGATGATATTAGCAATCAAATCTTTTTTTTTCTTTTTAACAAGTCGGCCGTCTCCCACCGAGGCAGGGTGACCCAAAAAAGAAAGAAAATCCCCAAAAAGAAAATACTTTCATCATTCAACACTTTCACCTCAATCACACATAATCACTGTTTTTGCAGAGGTGCTCAGAACACAACAGCTTAGAAGCATATACATATAAAGATACACAACATATCCTTCCAAACTGCCAATATCCCGAACTCCTCCTTTAGAGTGCAGGCATTGTACTTCCCATTTCCAGGACTCAAGTCCGGCTATATAAAAATATTTAAATATTCAAATATTTATATACAGTAAAACCCTCATCAACAGCCCTTTCATTGTTTTTTTGCAATTTTGGGAAAAAAATGGCTGGACAAACGGTATAATTATTGGAAAAATGGACAAAAGTCAGTAATACCACATTTTATCTGTCCAGTTGTCTTCTGAAGTTTTGGGCAAAGTCCACTAACTCTGATGTTTATACAGCACAGGCCATAGCAGCCATGTGCATGACCTGTCTGTTTTCTTTGTTCTCTGAACCACAGGCCACCCATGAAAGTTTATTAGTATTTATGCTCACTTGTGCACTCTTCATTCAGTCTAATTTTGCCTGTATTTACAGCATTTTGTGCGACTATCAACATAATAAGTAAATTGCATTTAACAATGGTTTCTAAAGCAAGTGGTGATGGTCCCAAGATAAGACATGTGGTTCTCAGAAATCTACATCTTCTCAGCAATCTGTCTTCTCAGCCCTCTGCATCACAGCCATCAACATTAGTAGAGCTTTGCAGCTACTCTGATTCCCTAACTCTTATTCTGAGTCACCATTATCAGTCACAGCAGTTTACATCTCATCTCTCCACCATGAAAAGGTTAGTAAAATTACTAATTATGTAGAATACTATAAAATTACTTTACAGTATTATACTGTAATATTACAGGTTACAATACCCATATTCTTATTGTCCTGGTGTCTTCTGCATCAGCAGACAAACTCCACCACTTCAGAGCAAAACTGTAAGATCATAAGATAAGATAAGATAAGATTTCGTTCGGATTTTTAACCCCCAGAGGGTTAGCCACCCAGGATAACCCAAGAAAGTCAGTGCGTCATCGAGGACTGTCTAACTTATTTCCATTGGGGTCCTCAATCTTGTCCCCCAGGATGCGACCCACACCAGTCGACTAACACCCAGGTACCTATTTGCTGCTAGGTGAAGAGGACAACAGGTGTAAGGAAACGTGTCGAAATGTTTCCACCCGCCGGGAATCGAACCCGGGCCCTCCGTGTGTGAAGCGAGAGCTCTAGCCACCAGGCCACTGGGCCACCTAAATGAAATATCAATTTCATAATTTGGGAGTTGCAAACAATTGCCATTGTATACCCATTTCCTCCACTTAGTTTATTAATCAGAGGTTTTACTGTACCATATTGCATTATGTATATTTCACCTAGGCTCACCCAGTAACATCAAACAGTGTGACTTATTTCCTCTATGGAATGATTATATAATAATAAGATACAGGAGGGCCCTGCTTACACGGCCTGTTAGGTTCCAGGCTCTTGTCGTAAAGCAGATCACCCTATTTTTCTTCCACTTTTAAACGCATGTAAATGCATAAAAAAAAGCATTAAAAAAGTAAAATGCACATACAATACACTCATTACTTACCTTAAAATATATGTGGTCTTAATATAGGGTGAGAGGCGAGTAGTATTTATTGTAGGAAGTCGGGTGTGGTAGCCTGCCTAACTACCACACCTTACAATTATGTTTATTTGTTTTACTATGATTGTATATACTATTTTGTTTATATGATATGTAGTGTATCCCTTATATAATTTTTGAAAAAAAAATATAGGTCGGTTTGAAGAAAATGTCTATAATAATGTAATATACACTCTTACTGATTTTAATGTGTATCTGCATGCCAGCACTGGGTGTAAGTTCATTTAGGTACAGGTACACATAAGTACAGTTTTACTTTTCTTTTTTTTCAACACGTTGGCCATCTCACACCGAGGCAGGGTGTCCCAAAATAGAAAGAAATATATAAAATACACAGTAACTTTTGGCCACCTCCCACCGAGGCAGGGTGTCCCCAAAAAAGTAAGGAATATATAAAATGCACAGTAACTTTAAAACACTGGAAATTTTGAAAAGTTTCCAGACTTAAATGAATCAAACAGTAACCGTAATTACTACACAGCAGAACAATCAAAAGCACTTCTCAGAGCCAACAAAAACATAACTGTCTTTAACTACAATATCAGATCTTTAAGTAAACATTACGATGACCTCATAGCATTACTAAATTCCCTGCATTCCAGTATATCCATCATTACTCTCACCGAAACCTGGCTAAAGCCTGATGCCACAGATGTCTATGCCATTCTTGGTTACACAGCCATACACAACTGTAGGCCAGATCAACAAGGGGGTGGCACAGCTAAATACTACTCAGACCAACTAGAATGTATCACTAATACTTGCACAAGGGATGAACATGGGGAATATATAATAGCTAAATTCAAATCCAAATACCTACAAAAACCTCTGTGATAAACATCTACACAGTACCACAGTCAAACATTAGCCGTTTTAGTGAAAACCTAGGAAGTATGATAACTGATGCACGCGTGAACAAAGATCACTTACTACTCTCAGGTGACTTCAATATAAATCTCCTGCAAGACCAGGACCCACACGTTACTGAATTCACAAACACTATGAGTAACTGCATGTTGCTACCAGCAGTAACAAAACTACTAGTGTTTCCCTACTAGACCACATCTGGACCAACACCATATCCCCTTCAAAATTGGGCATAATCACAGATAATACCACAGATCACTACCCTACCTTCCTCATCACAAACCTTGGCAAATTACCCCAGGACACTACTGAAGTCACTTTCAGACTTCACAATGAGGCAACCATTAATAACTTCACAGCAGCAGTGACAAACATTGACTGGCACACTGAGCTAGAACTCTATACAGATATTGACGAATATATTAATAATTTTCTAAAAAAGACCCAATACCTTTATAACAAGCACTGCCCCAAAAAAACTAAACAGATGACAGCTAAGAGACTGAACAGTCCCTGGCTAACACCCAGCATCCTCAAATCCATGAATACAAAGCACCTATACGAAAAACAGTACAGAATGGGTCACATAACCAGAGACCAAACTAAACGTTACTCATCAATCCTAACCAGCCTGATAAGAAGGGCTAAAAAACTGTATTATGAGAACAGATTATCCAACTTACGAGGTGATATAAAAAAGACCTGGAAAACCCTATCAGAAATTCTAGGAACAAAAATGATATTACAAAATAGCGAAATTGAATTAAAACCAGATGAACCCCAACTCCCACCAACTGAAACAGCAAACAGACTCAATAATTTCTTCTCCACTATAGGTAAAAACCTTGCCAATAAAACCCCAAGCTCAGATACCCCACCCAATGACTACCTCACTGGCAACTACCCGAACACGCTGTTCCTAGCTCCGACTAACCCTACTGAAGTCTCCCTTATTATCAACACACTAAAAAACAAGACAGGAGATTTAAATACCTTACCACCCTTTATATACAAAAAAGCATTGCAAGTACTATCACCAATCATTGCAACACTCTTTAACAAATCCATAGAATCCTCGACCTTCCCTACAGTTCTCAAAATAGCAAGGGTCACCCCAATCCATAAAGGAGGATACCAAACAGACTTGAATAACTATAGGCCAATATCCAACTTACACCCTCTCTCTAAAATCTTTGAAAAATTAATTCATAAGCGAATCTATTCCTACCTCATCTCCGACAACATACTCAACCCCTGTCAGTTTGGGTTCAGGCCTAATAAAAATACTAATGATGTTATTATACACATGCTAGAACACACACACACTGCAATAGAGAAAAAAGAAATCCCACTGGGGATCTTCATAGACTTACGTAAAGCTTTTGATACAGTTGACCATGACTTGCTCCATATAAAATTGTCACACTATGGTATAAGAGGGCACTCCCTCAACTACCTAAAGTCTTACCTCAGCAACAGAAGCCAATATGTGTACACAAATGGGGCAAACTCTTCAGCACAGCCAATTACAGTTGGTGTCCCACAGGGAAGTGTCCTAGGCCCTCTTCTCTTTCTCATATACATAAATGACCTACCAAATGCATCACTACTCAAACCCACACTATCTGCAGATGACACTACATACGTCTTCTCTCACCCGAGCCCATTCACGCTAGCCAATGCTGTACATACCGAATTACAGAAAATATCTACCTGGATGAGTACTAACAAACTTACTCTAAACATTGACAAAACCTACTTCATTCAGTTTGGTAACAGAGCTACAGACGTCCCTCTTAACATAATGATAAATGGATCACCTATCACAAAACTCAGAGGGAAAATTCTTAGGAATCCACCTTGATAATAGACTCAAATTTCAAACACATATACAACAAATTTTCAAAAAAATTTCCAAGACCGTAGGCATACTATCGAAGATACGGTACTACCTGGAGTTTACCTGGAGAGAGTTCCGGGGGTCAACGCCCCCGCGGCCCGGTCTGTGACCAGGCCTCCTGGTGGATCAGAGCCTGATCAACCAGGCTGTTACTGCTGGCTGCATGCAAACCAACGTACGAGCCACAGCCCGGCTGGTCAGGAACCGACTTTAGGTACTTGTCCAGTGCCAGCTTGAAGACTGCTAGGGGTCTGCTGGTAATCCCCCTTATGTATGCTGGGAGGCAGTTGAACAGTCTCGGGCCCCTGACACTTATTGTATGGTCTCTTAACGTGCTAGTGACACCCCTGCTTTTCATTGGGGGGATGTTGCATCGTCTGCCAAGTCTTTTGCTTTTGTAGTGAGTGATTTTCGTGTGCAAGTTCGGTACTAGTCCCTCTAGGATTTTCCAGGTGTATATAATCATGTATCTCTCCCGCCTGCGTTCCGGGGAATACAGGTTTAGGAACCTCAAGCGCTCCCAGTAATTGAGGTTCCACAGTCAGCCCTCCTGGCCCTATATCACTCACTTATTTACCCCTATCTCACCTATGGAATTTGTGCATGGGGCTTAACAACAATAAACCATCTCAGACCATTAATTACCCAACAAAAGGCTGAAGTCTGAATGATAACAAATTCCCACTACAGGCAGCACACTCCACCAATATTCAAAACTCTAAACCTACTCACCATACAAAGCATCCATACTTATTACTGCACTTACCACATTCATAGAACACTTAATTCTGATATAAACCCTCCCCTCAAACGTCTCCTTACCAACCTCAACAGAACACATGACCATAACACAAGGCACAGATCACTCTTTGATGTTCCTCGAGTCCATCTCGCGCTATGCAAAAATTCAATGCACATAAAAGGCCCTAAAATCTGGAATTCATTACCTGTGAATATAAAAGAAACACTGTCTGTTTATAAACTCAAGTCTCTTCTCAAAAATCACTTACTCACCCACAACTAAATAAATACTGAATAATTGTATCTCGTAAATGTTTCTCATTATTGTATCTCATAAATGTCTAACCTGTGACCCAATCAAACTTTATTTTTTAATTACATTACCTAACAAAATACTCCATTCTACTGAATGCTCAGCAACATAGTAAATGACCATATGACCTGTCTTTGTAATACTCATTTGTGCTAAATTGTTATCTGTTTACAATAATGTTTTTACCACTGAATATATCATTGCTTAGTTAATCTTAAGTTAATTTTAAGCCTGCCCATAATGCTCTGCATACAAGGGGCTTTGGCATGTTGCACTGTAATAACTGCATTTCTTTGTACTTCACTGTATCATGTTCAAATT